ACAACTGAAAAATACATCACAGGAATACCCCAAATGCAGCAGTGCAATTTTATATAACCTGCCACTAGTAAACCAGGAGCCTTAACAACTCAAATCCCCTGCACCAATATTTAATTTGTCCCAGGTCTCAGGGGAGGCAAAATCCAAATACATTCAGTTCCTAGCAGGCACAAGGCAATTGTAAATAGAAACAGAATTTTGTGAACAAAACCAAGAGAGCTCCTGATGTCACTGAATTATTTCTTGCATGACAAATAACTCAGAAAGTAGTCATTTGCCCTTTTCTCACAGTGCTTATCTGAGAAAATATGACACCATAAAAAAGCAGTGTAAACCCTGTGTTCTCACCAGATCAAATGCAGTAGGTCCCTTAACCATATACAGAGATTTTACCTTGAGAATGAAAGGCAGAATAATATTGTTGTTAAAAGAATATAAAGCAAAACTTTGCACAGACTTACTATGGCCCTGTCAAAATGATTTCTAACAGCCCTCTTGGTTACCAGGTGGGTATCTCTTTTCTAATATAATAGGAACAGAAACCTATTCCTCCTCAGTTAAAAATGCTATAGAAAAGGAGTCAGAGATCCCAGAAAATTCAGCAAAAGTGTTCTTGTGGGATTGTATGAAAAGTATACTGATTTGGGAGTGGACAGGGGACAAGGCCTCTGGACCCAACTGTTAATTACCAGTATGAGACTGGAAATGAATGAGATTGACCTGTACATTTCACTGTTGCCAATTCCTGTAATGTTATCCTGCGTCTCACTATTTTTGTTGAAATGAACCTAGAGAATGCCTAACGTATTATTTTAAGAGTCTCATGAAAGCTTGCAGCTTTCAATACCAAAGTCTGCCACCTGCTCATTATCAGCTGCAACCCTTAAAGTTGTATGGGCAACTGTGAACTTGAATTAACTTTTGAATACTTGATTTTACTACCTATATAATGCTCTTTTGACATGTTTTATATACAATTCCCCAGGCTTCTAAAAGACAAGGCATGTAATCATGCATTATCTGGAAGGTTTGAACCTTGAACTTCAGCACAACCATACCTCCTAATCTGACCTAAGCAGGAGGAGTTACTACTATAAACAGCTAGCAGCAGGAGAATGGTTTGAGCCTAATGTGAGAGAACAGGCTGTTGAGACTATGTACTGAGTCCAAAGGCTAGTCGGGTAGTCTGTTATAGTTCTTTCTCTTCCCTTAGCCTGTGGAGAGATAGGACTCTGAGGACCACACTAAGTCTGGGGAGTTTCCAGGAGAAGCCTAGCTCAGCTCCCTTCCCTCAGCTGGGTGAGTTCCAGCTTCCTGCGGTGCCCATGCAGGGGAAGGTGAAAGTGCCATAAATTAATTCTGGCAGGGATTTTTAAGAGCAGCTCAACTTGGCTTATTCTTTTGCCTCCTTGACACATGGGGAAGTTCCCATTGCCAGGATACAATTGCCAGTCTGAGGAGGTAAGAAAGCTGTGAGAAGTCAAGCTCCCTCAACTCCTTCCAGTGACTTTTGTTCTGGCAACTCCCCAGGATTCTCAGTGCTATATCTTCTGCTGCTTTGATGGTAACATGAATCTGGCCTTGGAAACCTCAGGCTGTAAAAATTTTCCTAAGGAATGGAAACAGAAAAAAGAGAAAAGCTTGGCTTTTCACTCTGTCTCAAGGAAATCTAAATGGCATTTCACAGGACAAAGGAAAGAACCTCCCTCTACTGAACGGATTCTCCCTATCACAGATCAAATGTTGGCTGCAAGCAAGCAGAAGTGCAAAATCTTAAGAACAGGTCACCCTAATAGAAAATGCAGAGGCGGCCTGACAATCTAAACACAAGTGTTGCAACTAGCAACTACAGCAATCAGCAATCAAGCTGTGTCTATTGGCTATGCCCAAAGTAGTAATTAGAGAGGAATTTTTACTACAAGCTGCCTGACCCTTCTTATTCCCTGTTGTCTAGGACTATACGTTACTGCCTGCAAACTGGACCACGATATTTGATCCTGTGTTAAGAACCAGCATTGTGCGTCCTCTTTACGACCCCATGAAGGGATGCCACCCTACACAATGTTTTTCTCATCAGTTCTGTTTCAGTGTCGTTTCTGAATTTCGTATTTTCTAAACCAATGCTTTTCAACCTTTTTTCATTTCTGGACCCCTAAAAATTGTTGAACGGAGGTACAGACCCTTTGAATTTTAAGTGTGGATATTCACATACTTTTGATTGATCTCAGTCATCTTTCACGGACCCAGTAGCAACATGTAGGGGATACACGCAGGTGCACATGCACCCCCTGAGTTTGGCGGTGCACCCCCTGTGAAACGTGCTGCCAATACTGCTGACAGTGCCTGTGAGCGGTCATTGCTTGCCACCCCTCCCTTGCTGCCGACTCTGCCAGAGGCATTTGTGGGTGGTCCCCAGTCACCACTGCTGACACTGCTGGTGGCATCTGCAGGTGGTTGCCAACCACTAGTCAGCATTCACCACACCCCCGCTGCCAACACTGCCCGTGGGCAGTCGCCATGCAGCATTTGTGCATTGCCCCCTTAGACAGAGTGTGCGGGGCCCATGGGGCACAGGTCAAAAGCAACTGCTCTAATTAAAAACCAATGTGAGTGAATCCGGGGGGGATGGGGGCAGGCAGACACACCCGGGAACTTTTTTTTAAATAAATTGTTCGTGTTCCCAGCCAAATCGAGTCCAAATCCGTGAGTTGGTCCAGAACCATAAGCAGCCCAGCACCGGCAAACATCCTCCACCCCTACCTGGGGCTTCAGATATTTCCAAAGTCTTGTGGCAGGCATCCCACGTTCAGAGCCCCCCAAGTTTCGCCTGCCCTCAACCATAGGTCTGCAGAAGCAAGCTAGGGAGGAGCCTCCCATTTCCATCCCGTGGGTTTTTAAGCCCCAACGCGGGAACTTTTCCCGTTTTTGAAGTCCAAATGAAGGGGGCGGCTGCTCAGTGCCCAGGCCCCACCCACCGTGGGGCAGCGCCTCAGCCTGTCGCCCGGAAGGGAGGCGCCCGCCCCTGCGCTACCTCGCCACCCAATGCTGACTTTTTGACTCGCAATCACGCGTGGGTGGGTTAAGTGCAATATGCAAACACGCGTGGCAAGAAGTTCGTTGAAACTGCAGCCGTTCATTCCCATAAACCAGGCAAGCAGCAACTCTCGCGCCAAAGACCCCAACCGACCCCGCAGCTCCGACCCGCCCCCACGGCCCATTGGCCCGCTCCAGGCGCTACTGCGCATGCCTCGTGGCGGCCGCGCATGCGCAGCGGCCCCCGAGCCCACACCATGGCGCAGCAGGGCCGCGGCAGTCTCAAGGAGCAGCGTTACGACCGGCAGCTCAGGTGCGGGGCTGGGCTGCGGGGTTTGGCGTGGGGAGCCCGGGGGTGACCGGCCTTCCGCCTCCCCGCTGCCAGGGTTTAAAGACGACGTGATTTTCGTGGAAGCTGAAAAAAATTTCGTGCGCTGAAAAATATGCAAAAAGCGTGGAAAATGGTGTTTTCCATGACTTAGTGTGGCTCGCTGCAACTCCCCGGGGTGGGGAGGAGTGGGGGACTGGGTGGGGCACCCAAATTGAAGTATTTTTTTTCTTTTTTGAGGCAAGCACCCGAAAGTGGGCTCAGGCTCCCCAGGAGTGACTTGGGCTTTGCGGGTTCAATGAGCTGCCAAAAAAGTGACTAGGTTTTGAGTCCTTTTACTGTTGTTGGCTGTACATTGCGCAAGGGTTGACATTACCATAATGATGCGATGATTGTTGTATGCCTGGCAACGCTGGCCTGCTGTTTTATGGAGTGGGGTGGGTAAAATACAGCCCATGGGCTGGGTCCAGCCTGCCAGGGGCTTGTATCCGCCCTCCACAGGGGGCTTCCACCTGCCCCACGCCCGCCGATGGCACTGCCCCAGCTGGGGCGCAGTGTGTTAGCGGAGCTGCCTTCCACCTGCTTGGCCGCCTGTGAGTGCTGCTCCTCATGCCAGGCGGGTGGAGTGGGTGGAAAATGTCCTGGAGCAGGAGCTGTCAGGTTGCAGTTTTCCCCTCAACTTGGCGGAGCGTGTGGAGCCTGGTGTGGATCTCCACGGCCACCATTGTGTCCCCATGCTGCTTGCTGCTCGGAGCGATGTAACGGGCAGAAGGAAGAGCCATTGGAGGCGAGGGGAGGCAAGCAGTGCCCAGGTGGCTGCAGGAGGTGCAGGTGCAAGTAGGAGTACAACATGAGCTGCCCTGGGCAGGAGTGGGCAGGGCTCAGCCCTATGCAGAGGGCTACAGGGGCAGCCCTAGGCTGGATGGGGCAGGCATGCACCTACACCACACCACCTGGGCAAGCTATGCTGGCACCCCCAACCCACCTCCTTCCCTCCCTGCACCCCTGGCCAGCTCCTGGGAGCTAGCGCACAGCAAGCCCCCCACACGTGTGCATGCCCACACCCCTGCCTCACATGCACCCCTCGCCCTACCTCCACATAATGTACAAGTGTAACTTTATTTTGTAACTATCGCCTCTGTATACATTACTCAAAAAACACAGAAATCAAGACAAAAAAATATATCTGACATAAAATTAAAAAGTTATAGTAGATATGTGTTTTTATTATATGATTGATTATCTGTAATTTGTTAAAATGATACCCTCTGAACGATTGTGTGCAGCCCACGACTGCTCATTAAAATTCGTTAAGTGGCCTGCCGAAATAATGTCCCACCCTGCTCCAAAACAGGAGTGGCGAGGAGCTGGCGTTTTTCCTCCTGTATGAAAAGCTGAGGCGCGCTGCTCCATTGTGAACTGATTCATGCTGTGTTTTGAAAAGGCTGGGAGAGGTGCAGGATGGTGCCCAACACCCAGAGCATATGGCAGGCAGCCTGTGGCAGCCATGCCTCCTCCGTTTGGACTTTACAGTGAGAATGCCGTCCGCAAAGAAGTTTCATAGTTTCTAGGGTCGGAAAGGACCTGAGTAGATCATCTAGTCCAACCCCCTGCCATGGCAGGAAAGAGTACGGGGGTCAAATGACCCCAGCAAGGTGTACATCCCTGGATTCGTCTCTTCCCGTGGAGTCCTTCTGCCTAATGGGATTCAGTTGCATTGTTTTTAATATCGTTTGGATTTCGTTTCACCTTACTGTGTTTAATTCTGCTACAGAAAAATTGTTCTATTTGTCTGGAGTCAAAGAAATGTAATTGAAGAGCTGGTGTCGTCTTGGGGGTGCCTCCGGCCTTGCGATGAACACCTTGAATTGGAAAAGGTTGAGAATCCCTGTGCTAAGCACTCTTTCGGTGTAAATGCTGTTTTGAGATCCACTGGCTTAAACTGAGAAATCCTGGGTTGCTGTAAATTTCAGCACTGTAAAGTTTGAGTCCATTTCAAATTAGTAAAACAAAACACCTCTAAAGTTTTCTTCACAGGAAATAGAATTCCCTAAGCTTTATTTTTGTGCCAGAATTCTGAAATGACACTTCAGATGTTATGCACTATTGTTGGTTTAATATAAAATAAAAACAAGATAAAAAGAATAAAAAATATTTTCTCAAACCAAAATTTCATAGAACGTTGCCTTTTGTGGGAAGCTGCTGTTCAATCAAGTCAGCTTTTTCTGATGAAAGCTTTTGACAAACTTTCCGACTCAGTCTGCCTATATGAACAGAAAACTGGCATGCTGGACCATAGGGAGTATGACTGAAGATTTCCACTACCTGTCAGATGGTGTCTACCATCTTAACTTTTCTCAGTGATTTTTGTGCTTCTTGTTTTATAGGCTGTGGGGTGACCATGGACAAGAGGCTTTAGAATCTGCTCATGTTTGTGTGATCCATGCAACAGCCACAGGAACTGAAATCCTCAAAAATTTAGTGCTACCAGGTAAATAAACCTGATTCTAAGGTTAGTTTAATAAGGTTTTTTATTAGGAAATTTACTTTTAATTATTTGTATTGTGTTATTTTTAAGGTATCGGTTCATTTACAATCATTGATGGGAATGAAGTCACTGGAGAAGATGTCGGAAATAAGTATGTTTTTTTTCTATACAAACTTGTTGGTGATTGGATTTAATATCTACAGTTTAAAAGCATTAATTGTTCATTTTCTGTATCGGCTCAGAGGTTCAGAATCATGTTCCAGACAATCATGTTTCTTCTATATTTTTTACATATTTACTTTATTCCTCATAGTATCTTAGGTGTTTACTTAGCAGTTTCTTAATTGCTCTGTTTTTAAATGGATTATTTGAAATTGAATTAGTATTTAATACTCATTTCTTCCTGGTTGGGAAAACAATAGTTTAAAAAAAATCCAAATAAGTGTGGTGAATCTCTTGCTCTGCTACTGTGACTTAGCCAAGGTTCACCTGACTTTGATACAATTAAACAGTTTGTTTTAATAGCAAAAATGGTTTTATTGCCAAAAAAAAAAATTACTGTCACTTAATCTTACCAAGGGAAGAGTTTTCCTATAGCTGTGCTTGCATGTCTCCTGAGAGACAGATGCATTTAGGAAAAACAAACAAACAACTCTTCAGTAAAACAGTGTTATATTGGAATGAAACTTCTTACACTGCATATGTATAAAATCCAGGCACTAGTGCAAGGCAGAGGGAGAACTAGAACCATAAGCCCACACAGCTCAGTTGTGCTCCCTGAGCACAGGCATTCCATTAGCTGTGGGAGAGAGAAATAGGGCCATAGTTATTCAGGGCTTAAATCTGTAACAAGTTCCTTATTGGCAAAGGGAGGTAAAATGCATTGGAACTATAGTGACTGGGATGAAGCGTCTTTAGAAATCTGATAGTATAGGACCGAAAGAGTTGTTTTAAAGTAGTCAAATGAAGATGCTAAAATCATAATTGAGGGACTTAATTTAAGAACTTATTTTGTCATTTTATGAAGCACAACTATGTGTTTTGTGTTACAGGGAAACTTAATAGTATTGATCATAAAACTAAAGCTTTTTTGTCTTTTTCTGTTGCTTCCTTTCTCAGCTTCTTTTTACAAAAAAGCCATATTGGCCAGGTAAGGCAATACTAAATCTCATTTGTAAGTGTAAAGAGCTAGCATTGTTAAAGATATGTCCTGCAAGATGAATCTGGCCCACAGAGGCCTGTCATTTGGCCCACAGTGCTGCTTGTGGGTTTTAGATCAGCTCTTACATTGCATGCAGCATTCCCCAGCCTCTGCCTCATGCACTATCTGGTGCCTAGTACATGATGGGATAGAGTCAGCATGCACACCTGGCCATTCCAGGGCACGTGCTCCACACAGGCCTGGTCTGGGGGTGCATATTGCATATGGCAGTGGAGTTGGGACCAGCATGTGCACTGGATCCAGTACACGGGGTCAGTCTGTGGGCCTGATGCAGCCTATAGACCAGCCCTGAGCCCCAGAGCCCGATGAGTTTGGTATACTCCAGATATCTTAGAGGTGATGAATAGAGTTCTACAGCTATTTGTATGTAAACTTCATTTCTTCTATACTAAAAAGTGAGAATGTAGAGGTTCAGGGGAAAAAATGAGAGAAAAGATGAGTTTTGGCCATGTTAAGTTTTGAAGTTGGTGACTAGAAGCCCACAAGGAAGCCCATGTATTGGAAAGACAGACTATGACCTAAACTGGGGAGGAAGAGAAGAGAAGCCATGGCTTGGTTTTGGATGGAGAAGGTTGGGGGGCATTTTCAAGAGCTTCTTAAAAATATCCTGAAAATAGCTATATTCTATGTCTGTTTACTATTTTCATCACTGTTCCTTTTACCTTGTCAGAGGAACAGTTTGGTAAAAATATCCCTTTAACTTCAGATTTTTTGCTGTAGTTGGCTTTGTGCCATTACCTTAAAATGAATTATCGTTTAGAGTAATTAAAAGAAGTATCATTCTTGATTGTTGGTGAAACAAAATGGATTCTAAGGATGGTGAAGACAAAATAATTAGGCCCTGTAGAGGATTATTATCCCTCTATTAGTAACTGCTGTTGCTTACCCTTCCTTTCTCTTCACCCCAGGTCCCATCCCCTTAACTTCTGTTGTTTATTCTCATGCTCTCCATCTTCAGAATCCTAGCACTAGTTAGTAGTGCTGTTACTTTCATTAGAGCTTGCTTAGCTTTTAGCTTGTAGTAGTGCTTAAGCAACTTGCATCTAGAACTTAGTTTCCAACATACATGGGACATTTAATTGCCCATTATAGTTTACTGTGAACAAACATGTCTACATGTGTACATCCTTATTATGCAATAAACCTCCCTAATCCCAAGTAAATTTGCTACCTGCAAATACAAATAGTAAATTTACTCAAGATTAGTAACAGTGCAGTAGTGCTTGTGTAGATGCCTGACCAGAAGCACTGTTTGCTCCCAGTCAGCTGTCTGCCAGGGGATAGAAGATAACTCCCTGCCCCTGGGAGCTACTTCATGCTGGGGTGGGCTCTGCCACAGGAGCCTGGGCAGCGATTATGTCCCCCTGCCATGGCAGCAGGGAGCTCCAAGCCCCCCACTCTGAGATTGGGATCGGGGAGTGGGAGCTGGAAGATCCTTATCTTCCGGCCCCTGCTCCTCCATCATGATTGGGGAGCATGGGGCGGAGACGGTACTGAGAGACCCTCATCTGCCCGCACCAGCCATGCAGTTGCAGAGCCAGCAATGGATAAGGATTTCCCAGCACTGGCCCAGTGGTTGTGGAGCTGGTGCTGGGAGCTCCCTGCTGGTGAGGGCAGGGAAACCTGTTCCCTGTCCAGCTCTGCAAGCATGAAGAGCTAGGGATCTTGTTCCCCGCTCAGCTCCGCAGTTGTGGAGCTGGGCAAGGAACAGACTCTTCTGCACTTGCTAGCAGGGAGCTCCCAGCACCAGCTCTGCAACTGTACTAGCTGCCAGCTGCTGCACTGGCAGATCAGGGCAGGCGGCTGAGACCTTCCCCTACAGCTCTAAGACACCTGCCTCTGATCAGGAAGCCAGGGCCAGGAGCTTCCTGCTGCTGGGGCAAGGGGATATTTGTCTCCTGACTGGTGCTCCCTGCTAGCCCTTGAGCTAGCACATAGGGAGAGCCTAGAGCTACCCCCAGTGGCATCAGGGGCTCATTGCCAAGCTGCAGAAAATGGTGCAAAGAGCAGTATAGACACATGCCTGAAAGCACTTACTCCAGTGTAGTTTATACCAGACTCAATTTAGGCCAGATAAACTGCATGTGTAGACGTGCCTGCTGTTTTTAAAATTAAAAGTAAGCATTGCATATTTTTAACTGACTTTTTTTTAGTAAAGCACAGTATAAGTTAAGCAAAATCCTGCTATGGTGAGCAGTGAGTGAATGAGTGTTTAAATAGTTAAATGAGTTTTTTAACATAATGTACTTACTGTATTAGTAGTATATATGCTATTTTACAAATATGTAAAAGATAATATTAACTTCTAAATTGTAGATACATTTCAACAGACTTAAAAATGCTTCAATTGTTTTAAAACAGAATCGAGCCCAGAGTGCCACAGAGCTCTTACAAGAATTAAATAATGAAGTCTCTGGAAATTTTGTGGAGGAGGTTTGTGTTCTCAAGTCGTTGCTGCATTCTGGTTTTTTAGAGTGTAGCAAATATATAAATGAATCGTTAGTTACACATTTATCTGTATTTATTTTTTAAATGTAAATATTTTCATGGTAATAGATCTGAAATGAAATCTCAGATTACTTGGGGCAAATCAGTTTCATGTGTGTTTGAATAACCTTTGTAATTTAATGACGATGAGGATTCAGAAATTAGTATTTTAAATGCAAAACTCATATTGAATACAATTTTAGCTTTTGACATGTTCTGTTTTTTTTGAAAATTATTACTGTATGCTTCAATCTTTGAATTATGTTGTACTTTTTTTAGAGCCCAGAAAAACTTTTAGATAATGATCCGTCCTTTTTCTGTCGGTTTAACATGGTGGTTGCAACCCAACTACCAGAAAGGTAAATAATTGTATATAAAATTTTCATCCTTTGATTTTAAAGCTGCGAGCTTTTTCAGCCGTATTGTGAGAACTTGAGTTATGTGAAGCAATTTTGCCTTTTGCTGTTGTGCAACATGTAAGAGCTGTTTTCATAGGTATTTAAATATGCAGTACTTTTTTCTAGTTAAGAGGTCTTTCAAAACAGCTCTGGCATTTTTTACATCTTATTTGACATCTACCAGATGTCATATGTTACATATGGCTTCTAAGCTTTGTCAGGGATACCTTTTATAGGAGTTGCATTTGTCTTTAAACATGGATTTATATAATCATTTTTGTTTGTTTGTTTGTTTGTTTCATAGTTGTACCATTTTATTTGTATCAATGTGTTTTTAAGACTGACATCAAAAATCTGAGCTATAGAAATTAATTCAACATTAATGAACCAATGGATGCAAATTAAAGGAATGTATTTTTAGGATGGCAGTTAAAGTTTCTCTGACATGCTTATAAGATGATCATAATAATATCATCATATAATACTTCCTTCTTGCAGGAACCTTTTTTAATTAACTCTTACAGTTGGATGTGTATTATCAACTGCATATTTTAAGAAACCAATTGTATTTCCTTTTCCAGTACATTGCTACGTTTAGCTGACCTTCTCTGGAACTATAACATCCCTCTGTTAGTCTGTAGGACTTATGGATTGGTTGGCTACATGAGAATCATTATTAAAGAACATCCAGGTAATGCATCATTATTAAAGAACATCCAGAATAAGGTTGATTTCATTGTAAGAAATGAAAGCAGTCACGTACACGTGTTAGTTGAGTTGTTTGCATATATGAAGTATTGTTTCCTTGGTTAAAATCCCTCATAGTTGCAGTTGGAGTTTCAGCAGTGGACATATTACACTGGGAACTGCATGCAACAACTTGATAATCTGACTCCTTTATAAAAGAGGAGATTTTTGTCTACTGTTAGACTGCCTTACATTATGCAATACATTTTACAATGATGCATAGTTCCCATTAGGAGAATAATTGTTAATGGGAGTCATAATTAAGCACTACATTGAACATTTATTCCTTCATTTTGAAATCTTGAGCACATATATTATTTTGCTTTTATGTAAAATAATATACCTTGTTACTTCTTTATAGTCGTAGAATCTCACCCTGACAATGCATTAGAAGATCTGAGACTGGACAGTCCATTTCCAGAGCTGAGAGAACATATTCAAACATATGACTTGGATCATATGGAAAAAAAGGTTGGCATGAGATTTACATTCTCTACTTTGCATGCAAAGACAGGCACTGTTTTGCAAGTAATTGCATGTGTGTGAATTCTTCCTCTTGCTAGACACAGTACTGTGTTTGAATGGTGTTTGGGTATTGCAACATCATTTTGCATAGAAAGGAAGCCACTTTTTTATGAGATTTATGATAGTCAATTAGATATGCCATTTGGGCCAGGTCCTTTAGTGTAAGACTTTATGCTGAAGGGAGCTGTGAAGTCTGACTTAAACCAGAGGCATAACAAGCTTTTTCAGTTACTGGGTTGGGGGTGTAGCAGGTTGGGGGAAGAAGTCTTCCCTGCCCATGCTCTCCTTACTTGAGGACAACACTATTGCTGTCACTTGACCCCTGGCAAAATGAGCTGGGGCTGCTGCCACTGAGCCACAGGTAGTGGTGAAAGCTCCTGGTACCCTGTTTGGGTCTGTGCCTCTCATGGCAAAGCCTGGAGTGGGGAAGGGGTAGAAAGGCTCATTCCACCCTCCACCCCTCTGGGCACACTGCTCGACATAGCGCAGCACCCGCTTGTCCCTGTACTTGCCATGGGACAGACTCCTTGGGGGCCAGGGGGCTTAACTGGTGCTCCCTCTTAAGTTGGTGTCCCTCTCCCTTCACTATAGTTATCCTACTGCCTAAAGCAACATTGTAATTGGTCACAGAACCTGGATAGCAGATGTACCATTTGTCCTTTCTCTGACTGGAGGAGGAAAAAGGGTAGCCCTGGGTATCCTGTGTTAAGTCAGTTTTGGCTATGTTTATGCCCAGTGTGGGCTTTGTAGCCCAGAATGTAACGTAGCATAATGAAAATGGAATGGCATGCATAAAACCAAGGATTACACGAGTGTACAGATGAAATTTCAAGACATCCCCCTCTTCTTGACCTCTGCTGCTTTGCCATTGCTAGTGGTTTGGTCCTTTGAATCCCTCCATGAAGAAAAGTAAAAAGAGCTTCTGAGGGCAATTGTTTGGAGCGCTCAAAAAACAAATCCCAGAGTTACAAACAAAACCTGACATAAGTAACTCCTTAGCATTGAGGAAAGCAAGCAGTTAATCCAATTAAAAATATGTTCTCAAACCCAGTAAAGTCAACTGATCACTTGCATGTTCTTCAACAATAGATTGCAGCTTGAAACATGATTTTGGCCCTCCTGATTTCATATGTAGTGTAGGATGTGACTAGGCACTCTCACTCATTTGTAGTTTCTACACTGATAAGCATTAGGCATCTTAGAGCTCTGAGAGAGTGTTTCCTGCCCATAAGGTTATTTAGCAAGTACTTTACCAATTTTGGATGGAAGCCTGATCTATGTATTTTTCCTGCTCAGGTAGATATTATATTTTATTGGGCAATTCAAAATACATAGTTTTATTTTGAGAGCATGGTGAAGATTTATTGCCTGATAGATTACTTAGCCCACTCTCTCTGGGCAGAATTTCAATATTCATTAAAGTAGTACAGAATCAAAGCCAAAAATTATAGCTGAAATACCCAAACTGAATCACAGTTTTTCTTTATAACACAGGTGAATACTAACAGAATTGTAACAGAAAATAAGTCCATGCATTTTAAGAAGTAAATGAGGGAAGAAAACTAAATATTAGTATGGAGGACTTGGGTCTTCTCCTTTTGGACGTGTAAATAAATTTCATGCTGCTTAAACAGGTTTGGCACTGGTTTATCTTTCCTAAGATAGGACAGGTAGAGTTACAGTATCGCAGAGTAGGGCATGTGCCCTTCTTTTATTAATACCAGAAGGGAAGAAAAAGGTACAAAGAAGGAAAGCTCCATCAAAGCAGAGCATTCAGTCACTACCCTGATGATGCTATTAATCTGTTGGATCCAAGAGGGCTTGAAACAAATTAGTCATTGAATCCATACATGATATAATTATAATTATGCAACTCGTTTTCTGGCATACAGATTATAAACTAATTAGCACTTCTTTGGACCATCACTATTTTCTGTTTTTTAATCTAATAGAGGTATTTTTAAATGAACTGGGAAGCTCTATATCTGAACAAAAGTAGTGAAGGTGTTCATGTGTGACTAAGTCCTACAAAGGAGAAGACTCCATGGGAAATGTAGATCTATCAAGCTTTTGTGGTAAAAGAATTGGAATTGTACCTTGTATTGTTGTACTGCATAAGCCTGCTGGGATGCCCAGGGTAATACGGGCAGACATTTAAATCCAATTAAATTGCACAAACCATTTGCTTAATCCTGTTGCTTTCTATATAAAAACACTGCTTAAAATGAATTAAACATGCCTACGATTTCATTTTCGAGCTGTGCATATACCTCCCTGTTGGTACCTAATTATCCAAGGTATATTGTTATTCAGAGTCCAGACAGAAGTAATTAATCAAAGAGCTACTTAAGGCATCTTTACTGTAGATTAAGTGGATTCTGCTCCACAGTATGGAGTTCCCCCAGCAGAATATTGAGCACCTCCACACTCAAAGTTCCCTGTACAGCCAGAATCTATTCCTTCATTTACTTCACCTCTGCTGAAGCACAGTGGTTTCTGCTACCACCCAAGAGCTAGCTAATGGGTTTTCAGAATTAGCTGACAACTAGCCACATTGCCTCCTTCTCTGGTTGCCAAATAAGCTCATCATATGTGGCTTAATTGTAGTTGTGATCCAAAGCCAGTCCAGGTCAGTTGAACTGCAGATGTGCTTTGCTGAGAGTAGTGATTATCAATCAGGTTGCTGTAAGATTGTGGTGGGGTGCCAAGCAATATTCGTACTGTTAATTGTGCAAGTGCTTGCACATGGGCCGGAGGATAGACCCATAGGTGTCAAATAGGGAATCCCCATGGTCAAAAACATTTGACCTGTCGTGGTCTTTCTGAGTTCCGTGCAACAGAAGAATTGCTATTAGTTTTGGTAGTCAGGAAACAAACAAAAGCTAAGAGATAGCATTCTCCAAATGGGGCCTTGAGTCTGAAAACGTTGAGAACGATTGCTTTGCCATGACTTACTGGATGCCAATATAATATTTTACTTTTGAAAGCAGGGGATAACCTGCACATTTTCCATTTTTTGAGATGCTTAATTAAAGGTTTTTTTTTCTGTTTTCATTTGCAGGACCATAGCCACACTCCATGGATTGTGATTGTGGCAAAGTACTTAGCAAAATGGTACAGTGAGGTATGTTGATAATATCTCATTCAAAGTGAGTGAGTGAGTGAGTGATGTGGGTTTTATCAAGTGTATTTTATCCAAGCTGGTTTGGTAGCAAAAAATATTGAGTGATTGATCATCTTCTTGTGTCCTATAGTCATGTTTAAATTTGAGTCCAAAACAGGCACATTCTCTTGCTCAAACTGCAGCCTTACAGCCGTGTTTAAACTTGAGTCCAAAACAGGCCTTACAAGGTCCTTGTCAGTGCTTGGTTACCCCATATGTGGGCAGGCCAGTAGGTATCCTGTAGTCTGAAAGCTTCTTTCATATATATACACAGTGTTTGTGTCGTTAGAGTATGCGCACAGTTGCATGTTAACTTTAGTCTTACCAGCCTTGGTGTGGAGGCAGTTCAGGCTTCTCCACACTGGCCAGTCAAGCTCTGTGCTTGCAAGGAGATGTCTGGTAGTTTTGATATTCATCCCAACTCCCTCCTGGGTCATCTGTAGTCATGACTGCCACATTTTTATTTGTGTGTCTGGTGTTTTACCTAGCTACTGCATCATGGAAAGGAAACTTTCCTGTGATTTTAGTCTACTGGGGGTGGATGATTGATGAAAACACTTGACACCTTTTTTGGTGGGGGAGGAGGGGTCAGATGGTTTTAACTGCTACAAAACTGTTTGCTTTTATCATACTGTTTCCTGAATTAGTTACTGAAACAAACTATTAACTTTGATACAGTCAACCTAGACTGTAGCAATGTGACAGGTGTGTTTGTTTTTATTTGGATGGAAAATTAGATCGGTTTTTCTTTCTCTACATTTAGAAAAGTGATCAGTTACCTAGGAGTTACAAAGAAAAGGAAGCTTTCAGGCAGATGATTAGACAAGGTAATGCATTTTGTGGGAGATTTGTCAGTATAAAAATGCTCGAGGTAAAATTTACTGCTGTGGCTTAAGGAATAAATGTAAGCTATGTCCGTGTTGATTTGTGTCCTTATAACTAAGTATACAGGACATCCTCAGTATGATGCAACTATCTTACATGCATGGGTTTTAAGATCTTGAGTATGCTTATGATGCCACCTGTCAACACTTGTCCTTAGTGTTCTCTTCAGAGGAAAAAAAAAGAAAAATATTTAAGAAAATGTTGGTGCATAAGTTTAAAAATTTGATGAAATAAAGAAGTGGGTGGCCTTTGGTACTGGAACTGAGACTGGTATGAATTTGGCACACCTTTTGCGTCTCTTGCCTGATTGATTCACCAGAAGTAAGGTGGAATCCCTTTCAAAGATCCACACCTGAAAGTTCAAGGATTGAATGGGAATAGAAAATGAATGATTGCATGCCTATTGGTTTTAAATCCTGAAGGCAATGCTTCCATAGGAGGTCAGAATGAGGTTGTATAAGGTATTCTCATAGCCACTGGACGTTTTGTAATTACTCTGAGTAGAGAACTTCATTGTTTAGCGCTATCAAACTTGGTAGGCACCTTTCGCAAATTCTAATACTAGAACTGTATCTTTTAAAAATATAGCACTTAAATCTACTGTCAGAATGAGGCTGTGGTGTTTCAGAATGGCATTTTTGGAATTAGTATCTTGTATGAAAAAATTGATTTGTTCTTTTATGAATACATTAATGGAAGACATTCCAAAGCATTAAAAATTGGCTTCTTTATAGAATTCAAGTGCAGTGGTTATGTTGACTTGGCTTTTGCTGCAATCTACATCTGTAGTACTCTCCATCAGGTATATTGGAGTGTAACAATAATAAAATTACTGTTGAAACAGCGATTACTTAATTCCTGTAATGTTCAAATGTTGTATTATGTCTGAGTCTGTTTCATTTTGTTCAGGTTGTTTTATTGTGTGTGTGTGTGTGTGTGTGTGTGTGTGTGTGTATATGTATGTGTGTGTGTGTGTATATATATATATATATATATATATCAGTATTCTTGTGTTATTCATACAGAAGCAGTCTGTTTAGAAGGAAGGATCAGTCTTATTTATCTATATCAAAATATATTAATTAAACCACAAATTAATCAAATTAAACGGATCTTTATTTCAAGATTTGTTTTGGGCATTTGTATAACTACAGCTTCCCTCTCTATTTTTCCTATATCATGGACAAGCTCTGGTATTCAGTTTATGAATGTTCATAGCAAAAAGCTCTACACTTATTAAATTTTCTGTCCTGAAATATTAAGGCATATTTGATACCTTAGCAAAATACTTATGCATATGACCCATCACATTAAAAGTTAATAATGGCTCATATAGTTTGTGATCACAGTTCCAGCATAATGTTATATAACAGAAGCTCAGAAAGCAAAGCCTAATCAGTTATTCAGACATGACCCTAGGAATATTGATAGAGGAAGGACTTTGCATTAAAATATTACTCTTTCAAAAAGGTATTTTAAAGAATGAAAATGGGATCCCAGAAGATGAAGAGAACTTTGAAGAAGCTATGAAAAATGTGAATGCAGCACTAAGTACTACAAAGGTAAAAACAGCTTTTCAAATGCATTAAAATATACTAAGAAAATATGATGTGTTAACTGTATTGTTATGTTTTTTTCCCAAATGCATTATGTACCTGTAAGAAAAGAATTCCCTGGTGGAATTACCATACACGCACTTAGATATGATGAAAATTGTGCCATCTTCAATTCTAAGACATAGCTAAAGAAATTAAAGATTAAGTAGTGTTGGCTTTCTGACACTTTTGAAAAATCTGGTTAGTTTAGTATACAGTTAGTATGGGCTACAGTCCACTACACTCATTTCTTATTTCTATAATATAAACCCAAAAACATTTTTAGAACAGTACAGCAGGGCTACCAGTCTGTGTTGTAGAGAGAGTAGTGCAGGTCCAGTTATGACAAATTGGTAGATCTTGACTGAGAAACTCATTCAACATATCTGTCCAAACTATGCTTAATAGGAGCAATTTTGCCAAACTGCTCGTGTTCTTCGTATGAATGGAAGGGAGCTTCTTCTGGGGTCATAGCGTTTTCAGTCTGCTGCTATCGCAAGCAAACAAATCATAAATTTCCTTTTGCAAACTGAAAGCACTAAATTTATTTTATTTTTTAAAATTGTGTTGAATTCGTAAACATAGTGTAGCTTAGCATTTGATATAACTACAAATATTTGCTTTCTGAATATCCAGTTTTGGACTCATTTTTAATTAGAGAAAGTTAATGCTGCTGCTTCTGTTCCTGAAAAGCTCCAATTTATTTTTCGAAGTTCAGAATAGATTAGTCTTGTCTAGAAGGTCTAAAGTAATGTGGATATTGTATCCCCTACATAATTATGGATGGGATAACTCTTGAAATAGAAATGTGGATAAATACAGAAATATTTTTTCTTGTAGATTCCAAGGTGTATTGAAGAAATTTTTAATGATGAAAATTGTATCAATCTCACAGAGCAGGTAACGAGAGTAAGATCAAGATTCTTAAATTTTTATAAATTATTCTTTTGCATATAGAAAAATGAACCTTTGTCCTTTATACATTTCTAGTCACCAAACTTTTGGATTTTAACCCGAGCTGTAAAAGAATTTGTGGCAAATGAGGGGCAAGGAGCTCTACCTGTTCGGGGCACTATTCCTGATATGATAGCAGATTCTAGTAAATTTATCAAATTGCAAAATGTGTAAGTATTCATGCTTCTGCTTTGAAAACTATCATTTTTACAGCAATGGAAGGGCAGTTCTTTCAGACTTCACGTTCTGGGCCAAATTCTCAAAGCCCTTTTCTTTTGACTGTAGATAGCTTTACAGCCTGGCCATGTCTTGCTTTCTGAATAGCTCCTGGTCTGTTTTGATAGGATCCTAGCTCTGGGTCTGTCAGGTATGCTCCTAGATGCAGATAATCTCTGATATCTTCCTTGGGCAGTGGGATTGCACAGTCTAGGTGTTTAGACCCTGATCTGTGCTTCAGCTGTACAGAGCCCCTTCTTTGGACATAAACTGTTCTTACCCCCCAAACCTCTTACATCCATCTCGTTGCAAAAACTGATTTTCTAATGAATTCTCTCAGTGTGGCAATCAAGTAAGTAGACAGATTTAGCAGTGGAATTCTTAAACAGCACTTAGTGTTTTACAGATCAAGGAAACAACTAAACATAAGCTCCATTAGTGACCTCAGGACCCAGTGAGTTCTTGGGTTTGGTTCAGATTCTTCATACTATCCTTTCTGAAATTATTTGGCTCAGCAGTAAAATACCCTCTTCTTCATAGAGAAGCAGGCTTATATTGAAATATTATCACCTCTCTAGCCCACATGCTTCTCTCAGAATTTCTGGGCTTCAGTTGCCAACCCCCCACTCCCTGCTCCAGAAAGAGTTGTGCAGTGTTGGGGACCTTTGATTGGCTTTTCACAGTTTTCTGAAGATAGCCTTTGGCAGAAAAATGGTTGCTTGCATCTGTGAAGACTGTTGAACTGTGAATGTTAGTCACAGAATAGAATTTGTAGTTTGATACACACCTGTGTCACCAGACTTTAAACATATGGAATTATTATATAACGTAGGTGGAATTAAGGAACTTATTTGTTCCTAAGGTAACTGATAAATATCCATGTTGCATGCATTTGAAAATAATATATTTTCACCATAGAGTGGAAAGGATAACTTTAAGAGTTCAGTTTTGGACTGTTTAAAAAAAACAAAACAAAACCCAAAAAACGTCTTAGATTTAAACTAATTTATTAAGACTATTTCTTATACTTTACAGATACCGGGAAAAAGCAAAGAAAGATGTTACTGCTGTGGGTAATCATGCTGCTAAGTTGTTACAGTCACTGGGCAAGGTAGTTCTATATCAAATTAATTTCATAAATTCATTTCATTCTAATAAAAAAGACCATAATTGGTCTATATCCTCTGTACAGAATAAAGAAAGAAGTAAATGAAGGAAAAGAGGAGCTGGCTTGTCTACTGCACTCTCTTAGAGAAAGTTACTGAAGTTCTTATGATTTCAAAATACATATGGTATGGGTTTTTTGTCATTGTTAGCATTGTATCATAATATCATATGATGAATATTCAGTGAAAAGGCACTTGAATGTAACTTCAAAAAATTCATTACCTACTTCAATGTATTTTCTTAAAATATGAATACTCTAACAATTGTTTTATGCTGAAGCAAACATACTCTTGTTTCTTCTTAGCCACCAGAGTCGGTTACACAGAGAGAATTAAAATTGCTCTGTAAGTATTCTTGGATTTTGTATTGCATCATTTTAATGGGAAAGTTCAGAGATTTTCAGGAAGTTTTTAAATTCTGAATATTGTAGCTCTATCGCTGTTTCATGTACAGTATTGCCAACATGATATCTTCCTGAGAAGTGCTGCATGTCCTGTTAACTTCAGTGGAAGTTGCAGGGGTCTTCCAGAATTAGGGCCTGTGGAAAGATGTTGGAGGCAGATGTATTGAATACTATATACCCCAAAAACTAAACTATTGGTACATAAGTTAATATTAAGAATTGGTCAGGATTCGGTCATTTGGGCAACATTTGTTTTCATTTTGTATATGAATAAATGCTACAGTGTAGTGGTTCGGTGGGGTGGGGGGCAGGGGCTGTATGCAAATCATGGTAGCGTTTGGCACCCCCACCCCACATCTAAGCTATCCCCTTCCCCACCCCCCCACTCGCATTTCAGCTGCTGCTTTCCCTGCTGCTGATTGCTGGCAGCAAGGGGAAGTGGCATCTGAAGTAGGGGAGCAAAAGAGTACCCAGCTTCACTACAGTAAACCCACAAGGTTTGCTAAATGCTGCTCCAGCATAAAAAGGTAAATAATCAATTTTGTTCCTTTGCGTAACATTAGATATAGTCTGAAATGTATATCTAAAGAAATGAGATAGTAGCGAAAGCTGTAATATTTCTTTTCTGTGTTCTTTGTTCAGGCAGCAATTCAGCATTTCTTCGAGTAGTGCGGTGTAGATCTCTATCTGAAGAATATGGCTTAAATACTTTTAACAAGGATGAAATTAGTAAGGTTTCTTTTACTTGTACATAGTATTCTTTCACTATGGAACCTTTATGAAGTAGAAACTGTTGGGCTAAAAGTTGAGCATCCCTGATCTAGATGTTAATTTCCTTTAGAATTTCAAAAATAAGCCACAGAATTAATAGTCCCTAAACTGTCCTTTGCAAATGTTCTTGTTGGTAGTAATATACATAAAATGTTCATGTCAGTTACATTTTTTCTTTAAACTGTTTTTCCCTGTCTGCCTTAATTAGTTGTCACAGGAACTAAGAAGTGCTTCCATGTGAACAAAGACAGGGTAATTGTCTCTTTTTGTTGGCCACTGAGACTTGTCATATGTTTAATTTCTGAATAAAACAAATAGCAAGTTATCATTTAATAAAATGAGGCATGACTACTTAATATTTTTAATGATGCTAAAATAAAATTCCAAGGCAAATGTTGAAAGGGATACAATGATGTTGAAAGGAATACAGACCCACCTACAATATTTAATGAACATCTTTTCAGGCTTCCGGTAATATTTTGGCCAAAAGGATTCTTTTTTTCTCATGATTGTTAGTGTTTGTCAACTAATGTAAATATTGTGTAACAATGTAAGCATTTTCTTGAATTGTTTCATTTTATGTAATGTTCTATAATTTAGGAACTTTTTTCATCTTAAATCCCTTTGTGAGCCTTTCTAAACTTAGAATCCCTGTTATGCTATGTATAAAGCTGACTTCTGTTACATAACTACAGTCCCTACATTTTCTAACACAAAAAATATCTAGAATTTTCTTTGTATGCTATAAGACTTACTTTGTGACTTAAGGTATTGTATTTGAATCCAAGATGACTGAATTTAAAAAAGACCCTCCCCACCCCCAGTAATTAATTACATACATGGAAACGTTATAAATTAGGTATAATTTTCCACATATAGAATCTAATTATTGAGGGATTGTCTTAAACTTGTAGCCCCACCACTGCAGGAGGAAGCAATGGCAGAGGGGCAAGCAGTGGGGGAGGAGGGGCAGGCAGCAGGGGAATAATTGGCCCCTGCCCTTGCGCCCTGCACTTGTCTTCCGATCTTTCCATACTTGCTCTCTCCTGTGATGCTTGCACACCTCCCCTGCACCTTGCCTCCCTCCTGCTCTCAATCCCCCTCTTCCCCTTCCCACAACTGCTTGCCTTTAGTCACGGTTCCAGCCCAGGTCAGATGGTGGCTCCAGCCCCCACCTGGGCAGGCAGCAGTGATTGTAGTAACAACAGCTTCAGCCCCAGGACCAGGATGAAGCTGGGGCTAGAGTTTCCATCACTGCTGCCATTCCTTCCTGGCTGGATGGGGTTGGAGTCACCATGTGCTCCACATCCTGGGTTGGAGTCAGAGGTGTGACTGAGGGTAAGTGGCAGGTGACTTGAGCCTGGGCCATGACTGAAGCTAGAGCTGCAGCAGCTGCCTGTCCCCCCAGCCTTGTACTTAAATCCATGTTGAATGGGAGGGGGAGCATTGTCTTTGATTGGAGTAAATATGGTAAATATCCCAGCCAACCTGCTGTTGTTAAATTGGGATGTGTTAATAGTTCCAGTGAATAAAATTTATGTAAAAATGTATTGGTATAGAATGTTAATTTTTTTGTCAGTCAGCCTGGGATTCAGAGTCAGAATGACATGTGGTAACAATTAGGATAAAAAAGGAGGAGAGAGAGACTATTTAGTTGTGGAAGGTGTGGCAAAGTACCTTGATTAAAAAAGCATATGAGAAATATTCCCATCATCATTGAACTATAAACTAATACTAAATCTCTTTTTCTTCCCTTTCCCTCGCTTCCATTTCTAGTTTCCAACATGGATAACCCAGACAGCGAGATTGTGCTATATTTAATGCTCCGTGCAGTGGATAGATTTCATAAACAACATGGTAGATACCCAGGTAAGCTCATACTACACTTTTAGATGCAGATGAGTTGCTTTAAGACCTACAACAATCTAATTTATAATAGTACATATAAACTATAGGAAGCCAGTATTTTTACCAGACCAATTTCCATTTGTATATAGTATCTTCATTTTGCCAATATTGCAAAGAGTAATTTCTTCTCAGAATCTGAAAAGATAATTCTAAATTGAAATCACTCTAATGGTTCTAACAGCTCAGGACTGATTTAAATGACATAATTTGGCCTGTTGACTGATCCTCATCAGAGGTAATTGTTGTTAGGGCTGTGTCTTCAACATAGTTAATGACTACTTTTTGTTACTTGGTTAAAAAAATTAGTTATTGCAATAACAAGGTATCTATGACACAATTAAAATGATTAAATTCTTTCATTTCTATAGAGTGTTGCAGGTCAGTATAAAGAGAGACTTTATTTCCTAGGTGTATATAATTACCAAGTGGAAGATGATATTGGGAAATTGAAATCTTGCCTCAGTGGTTTTCTTCAGGAACATGGGCTGTCTGTAACAGTGAAGGATGACTATGTTCACGAATTGTAAGTACAGGCTGGCCACTGGTGTTTTCCTGTGTTCATTAAACTGTCCTGAAAATGCTAACTAATTTATTTTTGCTATTTAGCTGCCGCTATGGAGCTGCAGAACCACATACTATTGCTGCATTTGTTGGAGGTAAGTTTAATCCTGTAGACCTGTGCAGTACTGTTAACAGTGACACAATACTTGAGCCTGAATATTATTCCTTTTTCAGCGTGCTTAGTGCAAACAAAGTAAATATAGGCTGTAGTCTGAAATTGTTTGGATTGCAACACTGTAAAGTCCTTCCTTTCCCCTTCTCTTGTCCCATCCCTTCCCTGTACAATTTATGGGAATAGTCGATCTAGCAAGTGTTCTGATGAATAAATAAGGGAAAAATTACAAAAAAAATTCTTGTAGATTTTTAAAAAATAAATATGTAAGACTAGCTTAAAAAAATGAAAAAGCAGCATGGTAAAATATGACAAGTGTTTAATGCTAGTATCAATGGAGACCTGCTTTCTATGAAAGTCTGAAATGCCTCTCTAACAAGCACTTGCCAGGTGGGGCTGAGGCTGTTCCTTTATTTAAAAGCCTGCAGGAGCTATTTATAGTCAGGGGGAACCCCTTTAAGGGTAATTGAAGTATTATTATTATTATAAACTTAGCTTCATTGTTTGATTTCCTATAATCAGCTATTTGGGTATTAATGTTTATATGAACTGTAAACATCATCTTTACCCTTTTAAAAACTGTCATCTCCATGAATCTTTATGGTGCTTAGCAAAATGTTCAAAGACAGTACATGCCTCTAAGAGTTTGTTTCATGTATATTAGAGGGGATAAACTGGGATAACTTTAAAAATAGAGGGGAAAATGCAGAAAGGCTAATTGGGAGCTGATTTGGAGACTACTTATGGAATTGGAGTTGTGAAATCTTTTGGCAATCTCACTGACTTCCTAGTTCTCAAAGCCTGGACTGTAATCTCTCTCCAAAGGAAAATGGGACATCTTGGATAAGGAAAAACTGAAGTGTGTGGATTGAAATAAGATTTTTTTTCCCCCACTCAGGGACGCTAGATGTGGTTACTTCCTTTGAATTAATGTAGAAATGTTGATCCTTTTTAATTGAGGTAATATTACTACTTTTGGCCCCAGTTCAAGAAAGCACCTAATGAGCTTCTACAGGATGTTTTATACTAGGATGAGGACTGAGAAACTCTTGTTTCTTTCGGGAGGAGTTCCTTGTAGTTCCTACAATACACTTTGAACCATCCCATTTCTGTTCGAATCTAAACCGAGGCAGGCCTGTTCACCGAGTGTTTGGGGGGTTTGTTTGTTTTTCAAATGGGGCGGTAACTTGGCTTTTGCCCCCACGCAGGAGCTGCTGCTCAAGAGGTCATCAAGGTGATTACGGGACAGTTCGTCATTTTCAATAACACCTACATCTACAGCGGGGTGCCGCAGACCTCCGCTACCTTCCAGCTGTAGAGTCGCCCCGGGCCCCGCTCCATCCTCCCCGCAGCTGCGCCGCTTCCAGCCCAGCGGTGTCAGCCCGGCCTCGGCCTCCGCCCCGGCCACGCCCCCCTCCCCCCCCCCGGGAAGTCCTCAGTCTCTCGGCGCCTATTAAAAGTTCTCGTTCGTCCTCGTTACAACGTGATGACGCGGTGTTTCTTCGCCGCCCCAATCGCAGCGTCGCGCGGCCGCGCCGGGCCCTGGGGGCGGGGCGGGGCAGCGCCTCAGAAGCAGCCGCCGGGGCTGACCCCAGATAGTGTGGCGACGCTTCCGAAACCGGCCGCTGGGGCCTGAAGGGTTGCCCCGGGCCTGAGGAGAGCAGGAGCCTCCCTCGCTTCAGCGCAGGGTGGAGGGTGGGCGGGGGCGGAGCAGCGCACAGCGGCCCCGGGGGTCCTCGGTCCCTGCAGCAGCAGCAAGCAGTCGGGTACATGAGAAAACCAGCCCCCCGGGGGATGAAATGGGGCAGGGCTAGGGGTGGAAACTCTGACCCTGTTCCCTTGTGTTCACGGGGCAGGGCTGGGTGTTACCTAGAGACGTCCTCTGACCCCTTGCCCAAAGATGGGCCACAAAAATTTAAAAAAAAAACCTAAAACTCTTTTGATAAAGAGAGGTTGATACCTTTTATGAGACCGGCTGAGAAATGGCAAAAAAAAAAAAGACCTTTTTCTGTCAGCCTTCAGGCTCCAGGAAAGTGAGAGATGGTTAAAAGTCCCTGTAGGTAGGAAGTACACTTTGTGGGGGAGGGGGAGTTTGCACAGAGGAAGCAGAAGCTGGACATCTGTCCCTCTGGTCCAGGACAGCAACTGTGGGTTGCATTTTGTGGTGCAGATCAAGTGGGATTTCTTCCCAGGTGGCAGCCCAGGAGGTGCACGTCTAGTAACTTCCCATGGAGGCCGGGTACCGTGCCCATGTGCTGCAACAAGCATTATATTTCCACAGCAAATCTTGAGCACACATTAACTTAATAGTTTCTACGGTCAGAAGGGGCCTGAACAGATCATCAAGTCCAACCCTCTGCCCTTAACACAGGCAGCAACTGAATGTAGTTTGAAATTAAATTAGATTTGCAAATAGCATCAAATCAGCCAGAAGAGG